TCGGATTTCCGGAGTCCGGGCACGGCTGAGAATTTACACTGCTCATGAGCATTACGCAGAGTGAACCCTCATTCTAATGTTTTATCTGGTGATGTGGGCTAATCAGAATGATTGGGGCAGACCAGGGAAAGGATGTCCCCACGGAAGTGCTCTGGATAGCCGCATGACATAACTAACCCAAGGAGAAAGAAATCAAGTAATTAAACAATCTATCTATCTATCTATCTATCTATCTATCTATCTATCTATCTATCTATCTATCTATCTATCTATCTATCTATCTATCTATCTATCTATCTATCTATCTATCTATCTATCTATCTATCTATCTATCTATCTATCTATCTATCTATCTATCTATCTATCTATCTATCTATCTATCTATCTATCTATCTATCTATCTATCTATCTATCTATCTATCTATCTATCTATCTATCTATCTATCTATCTATCTATCTATCTATCTATCTATCTATCTATCTATCTATCTATCTATCTATCTATCTATCTATCTATCTATCTATCTATCTATCTATCTATCTATCTATCTATCTATCTATCTATCTATCTATCTATCTATCTATCTATCTATCTATCTATCTATCTATCTATCTATCTATCTATCTATCTATCTATCTATCTATCTATCTATCTATCTATCTATCTATCTATCTATCTATCTATCTATCTATCTATCTATCTATCTATCTATCTATCTATCTATCTATCTATCTATCTATCTATCTATCTATCTATCTATCTATCTATCTATCTATCTATCTATCTATCTATCTATCTATCTATCTATCTATCTATCTATCTATCTATCTATCTATCTATCTATCTATCTATCTATCTATCTATCTATCTATCTATCTATCTATCTATCTATCTATCTATCTATCTATCTATCTATCTATCTATCTATCTATCTATCTATCTATCTATCTATCTATCTATCTATCTATCTATCTATCTATCTATCTATCTATCTATCTATCTATCTATCTATCTATCTATCTATCTATCTATCTATCTATCTATCTATCTATCTATCTATCTATCTATCTATCTATCTATCTATCTATCTATCTATCTATCTATTATCTAATCTATCTATCTATCTATCTATCTATCTATCTATCTATCTATCTATCTATCTATCTATCTATCTATCTATCTATCTATCTACTATCTATCTATTCATTTTTCTATCTATCTATTTAGTTATTTCAGCGTACTAGTGGAGTTAACGTGACTGCGTCTGAACGAAGTCAGACGTACGAATTTAAAAAGTATGGCAACAGGGACCAAAAGTAGCGTTCTGTGATTGCTTTAGAAAAAGTGTATACTTGTCCTTGGGTTGATGCTTATATGCATACTAACAATGATCTTGTATCGTTTTGAACACCTTTTTCACACCATTCTCAGCTTAGAAGGATAGACATCCTGTTGTCGCAAAAAACGATTGATCATCAAGTGGCCGATGCAGGACCCAACTTGATATGAATAGTCAATTAGCGATTAACAGCTTTTGCGACTTTCACGAGCACTTTACGGCTGGAATTTAAATGCGCGTTTACGACTATAACGCACTGCTACGCCACATCTTGATAGTATCACCTAGATTGGTTGCGAAGCGTTTACAACAAAAATTGGCATGCTGGCGAAAAATTCAGCCACAAGGTTCACAACCTGAGATACAAACTTTCTCCTTCATACCATAGCACATGGCACTGCTGGCTGTCAAATGAAGTGTGCGAGTGTCGCGTGTCGAGGAAATTAGGCTTCTGTGGACTTCACAAATGCACTGGCATATCCAACTTGGATAAGTCTGTGCCAGTGATTCCCAGTGCGAATGTTGTTGCTCTTACGTTAACATTCGTTGTACCATTCATTAACGTACACGCTGTGCTTCCATATATGGTTGCACTGTCTTAGTGTTATCGGGTGACGTGTATAGATTCAACTAGATAGATTCACTTGTATGCGAGTGAACGAATGACTCAAGTTCATCCTGCTACATTTTCTGAGAAGTGAAAATAGGTGTGTGGCTCGAAGACAACGAAAGGTCACCGCTAGCAGGGATAGCAACAAACTTCAGCTTTACTCCCTACATTTTCTAAATCGTAAAATCGAATTCTCTGCAATATGGACTCTAGGCATTCTCAACTGCCTCTATCGACCTAGTTCTCCGAGCATGAAGAGCAATAAAAATGATATATAATTTGCACACTTCCCTTTTTTAATCTGCACGTCCAAAAAATCGAGGGTTCAGTTGATCCGAAGGCGCAGCAACGGTAGACAACACGCAAGCAATCATCGGTTAGTTAGATCAGAAAAACTGTCGTTGTAATTTTTTATTGCGGAGTGAAATAAGTAGGAAGAATCATATGACTCACCTCCAAGTGATGATTGTTCGAATTTATGCAACGAGTTTCACCTTAGAGCTGTTTCCGAAACAGTTGTGATGGAAGCTGCTCATTCGGTCACTTCGGTTAATCCGACAGTGGTCCAATTCTCTCCATTATTATTCAGATACAGCTCATTCACCTCTGACTCATGTGAAGTTACAATGTCCACAATAATGCGTTCTTCAGGATGTTGAAGTAGCCCATCATCTTTTCTTTGTGCATCTTTGTGCACGCTATGTATCAAGTGATTAACGAGTTGGATCATTGGAAATTTCCATACTTTATCTGCACCACTGAGCTTATGGGTCTCCGTTTGAATGGTTGCTTGTTGGTAGCTGCCTCTTTGCGGTTCATCTGGTAACGTCTTTGAGAGTACCTTAGAAACGTGCTGACTGTTCATCATATCTGCTTACTTTCCGACAGACCGCAGCTCTGGTATTCTCAATGACGTTTGGAGCGCTTTGTTACGGCGGGCTAAGAGCTCAGATATTGTTGTGCTTTCCTGGGTAAGAATGCGGAAGTAGGTGGACTTGGCGCTGCTGAGTGGTAGGCGGTCTTCCGGGACTGGAAGTGAGACGCACGGACGGCAGCGAGCGCCTTCTACAGAAGTGAACTGACCACAAATCTTTTCTGTGCAGTACCAGCTTCCGAAACGGCCGAAGTCTCCTGGTCACCTGCAGTTGTTCATCCGGGTTCCAAACCCGCAACGCAGCCCTGGACAGTGAAGCTGGAAGCCCCGACAACTCCGGAAAGTAGTGAATCCCTCAAGCTTCACCAACCTGCTGGCCCCGATTAACTCCCACCCGCTCTGCTTAAAGTTGGGTGTAAAATCCTCAGTCAGTGCTTGTCTAACTGATTTTCCTCTATCTGAGTAAAGGAGATCGTCCCACCGTGGTGACTATCTTCAAGAAAGGGTGTTCGGAATGAGGGTGGCAATAGTAGAGGAATCATTTTGAACCCCGTTGTAAGCAGACTATGCGTGGCTTATCAGCATTTGTCCCACAAAGGTGCGTGAAGACAAGACCTGAGAATGGCAAGCACAATCCAGATCTAGAAACGGCTGTGTGGACCACATCTTCACTTTCCATCCAATGTTAAATTTATGGCATGCATTTAGAAACCCCATGATTTTAGTACCCTTTAACTTCGACCAGTTCGCTCTTTTTAACACACTTTTACTCTATGATTTCATAAATATCGTAGACTGTTTGTATTCCCATGCTTGTGCGTGCTCCAGAATGTACGGGGAGCTTATCAGAAGCTTGCGCACAAGTAGTTGTTTCAGACAAACGTGTCCTCTCCGTTTTCGTTTAATTTCGTTATTGATTAGCTATTAATACGAAAACTGGAAGTTGTCCAGAACCCCGGTCTTCAGATCTCTCCAAGCGAGAACCTTGTGGACCTGGGATATGTAGATGGCATTGTTCTCATTTTTGAAGAAGGGCAGGTAGCATAGGCAGTTCTAGAAAGCTGAGCGAGATCATTCGGTCTTCCGGCATTTACTTCCCACCCACAAAGTGCAAAGTCATAATGCGGGACTTACAAATTTGGACACGCTTCTGAGAATTCACTGACATTGAAAGTTTTGAAACGCTATACGTACCTCGGAAGTTGCATTAGTTCTGATGGTGGTCCGATAGACAAAGTTAGCTCTCGAATCTCGAAGGTCAAAATTACGTTTACCAATTTTTGGCATCCAAAAGACATCTCAACAGGTCTCAAAACTCGCTCATATCAGACCACAGCGCGGGCCGTATTGTTGTTGGGCTGCGAAAATTGGCCACTTCGGTGGGAGTGTCTGCGACATCTTCAGCTCTTCGAATAACGATGTCTCAGAACTATGGTTGAATTCGGCTGGATCTAGCGAATTCTCAATGAAGTGATCAGGGGATGGGTTTTTTGTCAAGTAGACGGTAGCTCACCGAAAGACTGGATCCAATAGTACAAGCCAAGTTGACTGAGTTGTGCGTTGCGCATATCGAGTTATCACCTGCGAAGAGGATTGTTTTTGTGCCAAATTCAGAGTAACGGAAGCCCAGAGGCGGACATAATACGACATGACAGAAGGGAGCGACGGGTGTTACGAAAAGTTTGGACGCTGTTTTTGGTGTTCACCTTCCACATGACCCCCTTGTTTTTGGTTAGAGTTAATAAATGATACGGCGTCCAACAGATGTCAGCGGTGTCCATGCTGTCAGTTTCTATCCAGATTGTCTGACAGGAGATGTAGACACCTGAGATGTTTCTGGTAGCTAGCCTTCCCTTCATTGTCCCGCTCCTCTCTTTTTCCATTATAAAGCTTCATTCAAATAAATTGACTTGTTTATACGGCACTGAAGCACCAGTGATCTCCTCTGGTGTTGCTGTCAGTGGTAATAGTAATAATAGTATTACTGATAATGACCAGATGCGCTTTATAGGCTAGCTTGTCCCGCTTCGACGAGGGCAACATGATTCAGTGGTTAGAGCGCGAATTCGCTGGCCGGAAGAGCTGTGGTTCCAACCCGACCTGTGCATCCTGAATTCACTTATCTAGGCTTCGGCAACCCGGCAGTATCCCAGCCCCCGTGCTTCCTTCGGGTGGCATGACAGCTAGGCACCGAAAGGATGTTACAGCTGAACGATTTCGATTTCACTTCGACGGCAAACCTGAGTTTTTAATAAGCTTCGTTAGGTGGCTGGTGCAACCCTCGCACATGTCAGTCCATATTTTGAACATATGCTGAGAACGTTGTCTACGTACGGTCTTTCTGACGGCTTGTTGACATTTTGGGTTCAAGACTGCCCAATAAATACCTGTTATTGGTGACTTTAGACGGCTTCTCATGGCCATGTCACGAGAAAATTCGGTCTCAAAGCGTTCTGGAATCCTGTATAGATAATTTAAAAGCAGTATTCCCTGTCGAAAAAAAAAACAAAAATACTATAGAATTCATCGGTAAAATTATATTCAACATCCAAAGATGTAATTTTCCTATTTTGGATGCCAAGGTATTGTGATAAATCTGCAAATTCAACGATCTCCTTGGGTTAAAGATAGTGACAATAAGAAAGGACCAGGACACGAAAAGTATGACGTGTTTTAGAATCGAAGACCCATGAGGTTTGCGTAGGACATACATTCTTGTCACAGCAGAAAATAATCAGTGGGTTATATTGCATCACGTATTTGCCTGAATCTTTTTTGATTCAGCCCTTTCAAGTATTCCGCGATAGCCTGCCACATTTCCCGAACAGTTTCAGTTTGCTGTTTAGCGAATAAAAATCTACACGTTTTGAGGATTTTGGACAGTTTAGCCGTCCGGTCGGTGTGATTGATCAGAACACCTGAAGATTTTCTGTTAGGTGGTACAATGAGACGTTTGTTCCTCTGCAACATTCTAAGCCAACGGATCTTCCTCATTGATAAGACATGATTGACTGGCAGTGTTTTGCTTGAACTGAGTATTGACTTTAACCGGTTTACCGTGGCTAAGGATACCAGTTATAAACCTTTATTGATTTATGCAGCTGTGTACTGACTGACATCTGTTCACCGAAAGAACAAATTTACAAAACAAGCCGGGACGATCCGACATTTTCCAAGAAGCTAGGCACTTCGATCGATTGCACGTCGACTACCTAGCATAAGTCGAAGACCGTTTTACATTTTAGATCACAAGCGCGGGCCCCACCATGCGAGTTTTGTGTCCGCCTTGCAGTGCCGCCCCTAGAGCTGTGAATGGAACTACCTGTGATTTTGATGTCAGTTGACGAATATCATAAAAAGAGATTCAGTGAGGATTCAACTGTGCCTCTCGTTAGAAACAATTTGGGGTGCAAATGAGTGCATTGCGCGATACTCTATTTAATTTCATTTTATAGGAAAAACAGCCAGCGAATAATGATCATTACTTGGACAGAACCATCATCAGATATTGTTAGCTAAACATTGAAATACGTATATACATACGTAAGTTGCTTTAACTAAAATTCCCCCTGATTTTCGTTTCAGATGGATTAGTTAGTTGTGAGCCATATATGGGGATATGTAGGTAGGTAAGAACCCACAAATGGATGGAAGCATTTACTGTCTGACTGTTGGACTTCCGTGCTCAATACATCTACCAACACCTCAGTTGACTTTTTAGTTGACTCATCTGAACAACTGGTGAGTGGAAAGAATGAAGCAGTTTAATGGACTCGATCTTTTAAAAGGTATATCCGGAAGTAAAACCAGGATCCGACTCTGGTCGGATGTAGAAACGTCCATTGTTTTGACTGAAGCAAGAATGTTCAAAACTCAAAGTAGGTAACTTGATGCATCAGGAAGATTACTGAGGCGGCTCGCAGTCTCAGGAAGGCCTGTATAATTAGAGGGGACGGTGAAAATTGAAACAAACGAATGGTGTCCTAACTTATCCACATCAGTGACCCAGAAAATGAAGGTTACTCAGTGAGGTTATCACGAAAATATATAGATCCATCATCCATGCTCGCTCACTGTATTGGCAGGGCATCGTGAGAAATAGGTTCTCCGGCCTCATACACCCAAATTAGCGATACGTTTTAAAAGTACTTCACAGTGGCACAGAACATCTGCAAGTCATAAAAACGGCAAGCTTCTACAAGTGTCTCAATTTCTAAGAGTGAGCGTATGTCATCGAGGTGGCCATTCGGAGACCTCTGCGACCAACCTGGTAACAACTGCAGCCCTGCAAGGACTGACTACCACTCCTGAGAAGCTGCGTTGTCGAAAACAAACTGGGTTCGGCTCAAAGTGCGCCTTCCTTGTCGTTATTCTCCAGCAGTTTTTCGAACATCGCTACCCGTAGAGAAAACAGCTGTTTGTTTCGGAGCACTGAAGCCAAATGAACAGTAGTGAGTATCGATTAGTGGGCCTCGGTAACAAGTATAGTGATAAAACTGAATTAGCTCTACTGTCTTATTCACGTTTGAGGTAGTCCAACTAATCGACTGTCGCGTCATGCCCAGAACTACGGACGGAATGAGCAAACCTCAACCTGGAGCCAAAGTATGGAAAGCTTGACAAGTGGGCTTTTCTTGTTGGTTCTGAGAGTTTCGTTTGCGACCCGTGGTTAAAATCTGTTTGTTTTTTTGTTTTTGTTTTTTTTGTGTCGGGTTAGTATGAGTTCGATTCAGAAAAGAAAGTTTCGGACTGAATAATTAACTTACATCTACTAAGGTGAAATGATTGCCATATGAAGTTCTTGTTAATCCAAAATAGTTTCGAAGATACGGCCATGAATATTGGATGGGATTTCCAGTCTAAGGTTCCTTGGTAAGTGCTAGAAAATGGCAAAAACATGGTCTCACTTGCCCTTCACCAAAATGCTCTAGCAAGAGGAGGAGACAGTCGCTTTTATGATACCTCCATATGAATTTTTGACCGTGGAGTTTGCCTGCTTTATTTAAAGTTTATTGAAGTAGCAAATGGTATTAGAGCCTGTGCAAAGGCTCTAACTCTAGGCTTCCTGAGTTCCCCCGGAATGACTTGCACTGTCGGCCATGACACAATCAGTAGGGCCTCATGGTTTGATAGTTGGAAGTAGACTGACACTCAGTTTGTTATCCGTTTGGGTATCACTTTAGGTTCCCTACTGTTCATCTACCAAGGCAAAGTTTCAGCTCAATGTTGAATTCTCGTGAAACCTCAAAATCCCCGAAGAACCACAGGTATCCTTGGTACATGGTCAGCCAGTTACCACTAGACTGCAGCTAGCACAAACGTTTTGCCTAAGTGCTTTGAGCTCTTAAGTCATTGGTGAGAAATGTGTGTGTTTAGGTTGAGACACAGACGAAACTTATGCTTTGGTAACTTTTGGATAATGAATTGTCGGGCTAATATGCTACTGTTAGTGCCATACCAGTAGTAATATAATTATTCGTATGTCACAGCAGTCCCCAGTGGTTCAAGCACCCAATAAACATAAAAACTAAATACACCATACGTGAATGACTACTGAAATGTGAAAATGCATCGATTAGAACGGCTGTTGAAGATTTCAAGGTACAGCCGTCAGACACTTTTACAGACCGGCGAACCGACGAACCTGATTGACGGAACTGCATAGCTGTCGGTAGCAACTGGGTCGATATTACTACTACTACTATTTCTGCTACTGCTGCTACCATGAATGTGCCACTCAGCAAGGCCCTTCGTTCAGAGGGCGCCATACTTACAGAATGGTGGTGAGGCAAACGACCTGACTGACACGTTACGACTAGCGTGTTTTGCAACCAGTCAAATAGTGGGGTTGTACGGAACCTAGTTATTTGCCACAACACCAGAGCGACGTCTGATTGCGAGAAATATGTTCCGGATTTGGGTCAGTCCCGAACTCGACTATGGTTCATTGCGAGTTGAAAACAAGACTGATGGTGGTGGTGATGACGGTGACAATTTTCGTTGATGCATTGCAGTCCCTTAAGTTCTGCCCAGGTGTGTCATCCAAACTAGCAATACATGATCACACTTTGTCCCGATCTTGTGATGGGAAGGCAAATTTTGTTCGTTTCTTGTGTATCGAAAATGTCGGCACCAGGTTATCCTTGAATCGATCTCACTTTCACACCATGTGATTAGCTGTGTGTAAGAAGGCGATAAACTTAACGTAGTCACTGTCTGAATTTTGCTTACTTGACTGGGCTGCTAACAGCCCATTGTGATTAAAGATAGCCTCAGCCATACCTGCGCGGTATTACCAAATCACACTGAGCGACACCGTGTAAGAAATACAACAAGCCTGTCTGATCTAAATCAAGGGTGAATTTTTTATCGGTGGTTGTGAGTCTGTCTGACTCTCCAACTGACAACTATGGAGCTTTGTCTTCCACAAAGGCACATGAAATTATTTGTGCTAAAAGTGCTAGTTGAGAGGGACTCAAACACATGTGAGCGATCTATCGATAGCAGAGATCAGTAATTTTGCGTTTAAACTACCTTCAACTGGTATTTTACATCTCCTATTCAGGCATAGAATATATGTTCACAGACTAACTTTGAAATCTTTGCTGAATGGAAATAAAATTAACGATTCACTTATTGGTTGACCCACTGCGTAACGATCCTTATGGAGTGAGAATTAGGAACTAAGGTTGAAACTAACGCCACTACGTATCTTGCGAATACAAACTTCAGGCCGCCATGGCCATTAGATTATGCAGATTCAAAGCTCACTCTAAGGCTTTCTTAAAGTTTGAAGCACCTAATTTACAAATTACATCCACTGTATAGTCTTCCGGTCATTGTGACTCGAAGATAATTAGGCTAGCCTCTCCTAATTAATTCTTTCCAAAGGTCATCTTACGTGACCAAGAAAACTTCAGTATGGTTCCCCGAAATTTCGCTTGGAATTGATTATTTTGAGTGTCCACGTTTCATCTCACAACAAGAACAGACTCAGGTGTTCTGAAGACGCCAGTCCCCTCTTAATGGTCAGAACGAAAACTCGTGAAATCGACTTCCATATTTGTGTGTATACCTAATATGGCTGGTAGACAACACTAGCTGTCACTTGAAGGCCCCTGGTTTGGGTTGCCCTGCCTGTACTTTGTTGTGTATTGTTATGTAAAACTAAGCTTTACGTGCAGTGCGTTTATTTCTACCACATTTTAGGAAGTTCCGTTGCTGATTAAATTGTATTATTAGACTTATTTTATGAGTACACAGCCTGAGCCCAGGTCAGCTCCTCACGTGGTTTGTTGTTGAAAGTCACTTGTTTGAATGGACAGGTTATCTTTGTCTGTATTTCTCATGTTCATTTTGCATGTATTTTATTATATCATGTCATAATTCGCTGCATTGCTTTTCGTTGCACTGTACTATATTGTATTGTACTGTATTGTATTGCATTACGTTGTATTGTATTGTTCATTTTATATATACACGTCCTAATAACCCTCCTTAACACTGTGGACCATCCGAAGTGCTTAGCCTATAACAATACTAGAGATGTCTCTGTGCGACCGCCTTTGCATGGACGAAACTGTGTGATGGCTTGTACGACCCAACCATATGTGTGTACGGGTCACCAGGTTACCTCAGAATGCACTACATTCGCTGCACCTTTGACAATTACGGGTCATTTGCTGGGTGTGCTGATGGCATCAAAACTGTTCACTTTCCGGGTTTATTCCCCTGAATTTGCATCGGTTACATGCATGCGGTTCATTGCAAATCGTATGAGGCATCGCCCACTGCGCCGGGATTCATCAGAGCCATTCGACGTGACATGGAACTGCGGAAACGGTTTCAAGCCCGTAGAAGCATGGATGATTAGGAAACAATCTGATTATTCGTTGTATGCTATGGGACGATTCTATTGAGGAGGATCCTGTTTAAAATGTTCGATTCGTTAAGAAATAGAGATCTTCCTGACAGAAGATAAAAAACGAACCAGGCTGATAGACTGCACAGTGTTGAATGGTGTCCGTATCTAGCAAGACATCCAAAACATGGAAACCACCTGTTTGGTGCTGACTACAACGCGTCGCAATGGTGAACATTAGTTAGCAATGCAAATTTACGCGAATTTATTTTACCCGCTTAGTTGATCTACTTCCCACTTCTCCTTCACTGACGAAATCCTTGTTAAATGCTGTGCCTGACCAGTAAGAGCACTCCTGGTTTACCTTGACAGGACGCAACATGCACAGACCTGGGAATCCCCACTTTCTGTGTACGGCTAGTGTAACTCCCGAATTGTGTACGGAACCGGCTTTACTGGCTTTCCAAGTAGTCTGACACACGTTTCGGGAACATCTATGTGTATTTTGTCAGACTATTATGTTTCATTACACCGAGCCTGACCCTTGGAGCGAGTCCAAGACAGAGCCCCACATGATTAGCACCATCTGCCAGTGTAGAATTATCCGCGCGGCTAACATTTAACGCCCACCGTATGCATCGGCTTCATACACTACCCGTGAAAGGAGGAAGACATTCGCTGCGGTTTATTAGAAAACAGCAACCAAACAATTACAGGCCATTGGAAAGGAAAGCAAAACTCTCATATGCACCTAGTTTTAAAAAAATGGAATATCTGTCTTTTCCTGAACGCGTCTTCTAGAAATTTTCTGGACATTCATTGACTATCAGGCAAATGTAAATGAGTGCTGCAAAGCTATTCTGTGAATTACGTAATAAATCCCACCTTCCATTAGATCAAGGCGGAGTTACAAGAAACCACACACTACTCGCCTGCCTCATCAGTAGTATTCACCGTCACACCCGTACCATCGAGAATCCAACTGAACTCTAAAAGCTTTTTCGCATATGTATATACGTTTTGAGCTTTGATGATTAATGGAAACTGCCAGGGGGTTTTCTTCAAAAGTTTCGGTGACATATTTGTTCACAGGTCAGCTCAAACTAGTTTGACAAGAGTGAGCTTCCCAATCGGACTACTCTCCTTGTTCGTGGAAGGCAGCACGGTAGTTCCCCTCAGGAGCAGATGCATTTTTCGGGAGATGTCTTGCTTTTGTCAGCTCATTAATAATAGCTCTCACCTTGTAAATCCATCCATCACGATTGACGACTCGACCATCATGCATCAATTTTCAGCGCGATATCTGCGCGTCAGCCAGCACCGACCATCTCAGGTATCTCTAAATGAATTTCCACGCCTCGGAAATCTGTCAGTCTGGCTGGTCTCAATGTTCAGACTGTGATACAAGGAGAACAACAAGCCGCGCTTGCTTCCACACTGGACTCGCTTGACATTGATGCGTGCTGTGTATAGGAAACAAGAGTTCAATATTCAAGCACGGTGTTTGAGCTGACTGCCCCATCACTCTCCACTCGATTCCGGCTGCTCAGCTGTGGCGATCCAGAGGCCGCTACAGCAGGATGTGCAAGGGTCGTTAGTATTCTAAATCACCGGGTAGGAGGACCCCTGACTGATTGCTTATTCACTGATGGTGGCCTTCGAGCGGCTCGTCTGACATCGTCCGTGAAGAAGTCCCACAAGCTGGAAGTCGATCGTTGCCCGTTTGTCGTGTCTGCTTATGTCCCAACTGAATGTAGCTTTGACACCATCAAAGGAAACTTTCATGTCGCTTTGAATGCCATGTTACGGTGGGCTAAATGTCTTTGTGGGGGCCGAAAATTTGAATGTACATTTGAGCAGACTTCACACATCTGAGTCTGATTGGGTAGTCGACTTATTTCGCTCCTCATTCCGCTTCCCAAAATACATTCAGGCTGACTTTTTGCTCGATCACCTTACTCTACTCTGACACGCCCTGGTACACACAACGAGTCTAATCTTATTCAAACTAACCCGCTGGGTGCATATGTGGAGTTTATAAAGCCACAGTTCCACCAGACTGTTCTGTCTACAGTCTACTGTTCCAGTAGACTGGTAGTCACGGCTAGAATATGAACTAACTCATGGTCGTGACCGATTTCAATGTATGAGGACAGAGTACTGTATTACGTCTACGCATGTATCACGATATTTCGAAAATTGTACCAACGGGAACATGAGGCGGTGCTGCAAATTCAGTTGTTTGAAAACACCATAAACGAGGGATTAAGCTGGGTTCCAGGTGAGTCTCCCGTAGAACGAAATTCGTTGGCAAATGAGTTTATTGCGCTAATTTCGTGCAATTCGGGTTCAAGTAGAACATAAGATTGACGGAAACTAGGGGATTCCGCCCAGCTGATAAGCCCCAAGAAGAGCGAAACCGGTCGTGAGCTGCCGAAGAATTTTCAAAAACCAATCTATGCAGATCACTCTGGTTCAGATGGACAATCAGAATCAACCTTCAGTTAGTCGACTCCCAAAGAATCAGGAAAATTCGAATGTGTAGGTTGATTTATTCATACAAACTATCACGAACAGATGGCGAATTGCATGATAATCTGATCTTCACTCTGAAGATGGGACCCTATGCAGCGTGCACTAAGTGGGTGCGCCAGAATCGGGGAGACGTGAGCTAAATGGCCTGTGCACATAAACCAGCCATTCGTACAGTGAAATAAGATTATTGGCGTGATAACTATCATACCCTGTTCTGCTAGCTAGACGGCACCCACCAAATGGTTGTTTAGCCTTTTGCTGGAGGTGGTCCTTGTAAGGGGGTTATCATCTGTTTTATTGAAAGAAACTGAAGAATTTAAAAAGTTCCTAATGAAGGTGGCCTCGTAAGAAGATGACCGTATACTGAAATTAGTGCCGACAAAAAACAGCTGTTCTTCTCTGGAGGTGCGCTCCGGGTCATATTAAGCCATCTTGTGTCTGTTGTGGAGCTGTTCTCAGAGGCAGCCTGGGGTTTCTTGGTTTACTGTATGCAGCCATCTACTCATCCATTAGGACCACACATTCTTGCTATTATGGATTCTTTGGTGGACCGTCCCTTAATTGCCAGGACCACTTGAGAGAACAGTGGGATTTGTCCAATGGACCATGCTGGCTCATGGGCAACTGTAACAAATTTGTCAGGGAACTGCCGGTCAAAGAGTTAACATCTGGTGTCTAAAATACTACTTCGCTGGGCACACAACTGTGCCATCATTCGTGCCATAGAAGGCTTCGCAACCATGACGCAGTTGATCGTTATTCATAAACCAGAATGGACCTGGAATGTGGTCAATAGCGCGCGAATGAACATCTCTAATGGATGGCAACTTGCCTAAAGCGTGTTATGGTCATTGAGCGTCGTTGCCTCTCCCGCATAACAGTAATGTCATCATCAATCCATGGTGGTTCAAATCAAATTCCTCAACTCTCGGACGCGCCAGTTGTGCAACATTAAAATAGAAGAGACTTAAGACACCTTCCCCACATGCCAATGGACCCAGTCATTACAATTTCATCATTCGGCTAATTAGGGTAACCGAGGGCTTGAAAACAACAGACTGATTTCTTTGGTATCCCATCCACTTTGTTGTTTTGTGCATAGAACAGATCGTTCTTATGAGCTCACTTTTCCCTCACTTTCTCCGTAACTTCAGGGTTGAATGTGACTGTACTTCAGACAGAGCGTTTCTTCAACATGGTAAAAGAATGTTTCGTGGTTGTGTGGAACTATCGTGAGGGTAATATCGAAACTGGATGAGGTTCTGTTGGAAGAAGCCGGAGTAGCTTGGTCACCAAGCTGATGACCAATTTTCGTCCAACCGAATGAGGGTTGCAGTAAACTTCATTACGATCTGGTAGTTTTCCCTTGAATTCTCCCAGATTTCCGGTTTAATGAAGTTCTCTTGCTTCCGTCACGCCCTTTGGCCCAAATGTGGCTGGCATACCAATTAAAGACGGAATTCGATGATAATTTGTTCCCAAATTGGAACCCTATAAGAAAATAATGAAAGACTGAAATAACCTCCACTCAGTTTCACTAAGACAGGAAAACATGAATGGTTTATTTGGATAGACTAGATAATGGGAATTTTCGGGGACCTCATTTCTTCCACCCAGTGTTCTGTGGTTAGAAGTCTACCAACTACAATTATGGCTTGCGGTTAGGCTGGTCTTTGTCTGTCTGGCTGTATATTCCAATCAGGTCCTCCAAGTGCCGTTGACTGCGTTGTCATCAGCCAGATTACCTGCATGGACTCTGATTAGGGTACTAGTCTCCCCGCATATAGGCAGTCTCCTTTTCTACTACGTGGTGCCTACATGATGCACTAAATAGCAGGTGCGACCGCATGGACATTGAATGTCGTGGCGGTTTCTAGGACAACTGAAATTTTATAGGAAAACTGACGCCACAGAACTGAATATGTTGCGGTCAGCAGTATGCAACAAGAAGTGACGGATACAAACATGATGCATTTTGCATCCCGCTCAGGCCAACCATTCTGATTTGGTTTCTTAGGGACTATACGTAGACAGCGGCACTATCGTTCAGCCGAGGGTGAGTAGATGGTGTGTGGCAGAGCTATTTTTCCCATAGTCTTCAAAAGAAAACATTTAGGGAATACAGAATGAAGTAATCCGTTTGGTACTCATCTTTCTCGAAGTATGGTTATTTGTATGGGATTGGAAACATGATTTGACGTTTAGCAGAATTTAGCGGATCGATACCATGAGCTTATTAGTGTTCTCTTTTGTTAACAACAAAAACCACTTGGTAAATCAGAAGGCGAGAAAGAGACACTAATAAAACCTGTTTTTAGGGCGTGATGTTACAACTAGGTGCACCTTAATCAAATACAATACAATACCAAAAATAGGAAGGTTCAAACGAAGGACTTATCGTTCTGAGTGTGAATTGTAACAGTTCTACCGAGTTCGTTTGGGTGCAGGTAGTCGTGTTTCTTTTGGCAGATTCCCGGCTACACGATCCTGGTTGTCCGCACTCTTTGGTGCTTGAGCGGGCCTGTGTTCCGACGCGCGAGAGATGCGTGTATGTGCTCGATTGTGTTCTGTCCTTATATATAGTTCGTTGCAATGAGTGGGACATGAAAACAATGTGAAATCACCTGGTGTCGTTCAAAAGGTCATGGAACGGGAGTTGACATATCGTCGTATTCATGTCACGATTTTGACGTGTGATTGTGAGACAGACGAAATGGAATGGGGGTAGTAGGTGCCGGTGGGAAATTGATTAGATTAAGCATAAGGTTAAGCGTTACAAATACTCCCCCCTTTAGAGAGGGATCACATGGGCGCTGTCATCAATCCAGACAAGTGACGTCTTGTCTGGTGATGCACGTTGTGTGATGTGGAGCAAAACGAAGCACGAGGGAGACAGTGGATGCGGATGCACTAATCAGATTGGGCAACAGCTACAAGCTACTGAGCCACCGAAACACAACAGGGACGCGTCTGACAAACTGGTACTTTGGTATTCTAAACACAGCTCACAGCGTGCACTCCCTGATTTCATTCACCGATCTGTCAGTATGTACAACCGTGATATTTTTGACGCAACACCAATTATAAGTTTGCTGAGAACTCTTCGATAGCCTACTGAGCTTTAAGGGTGTTGCATTCAGCACCAGAGTCTGTTACAGCAATCGTGCTGCATACAAGAGCATGAAGTACAGACGAACAGCGGAGATACATGGGGCAAAGACAAGCAGAAGATACCATGCCAGGGTTTCGATATATAACGATAGTTTCTACCAGATGTTTGCATGGGTTTCCCTAGACCGAAAAGCTGACTGATCTCTGTGCAACGTTTTCGGGTGGTGAAGATAAAGCTCGATTTAGACGTGTAGAACGTCCCTGAAGAATGCCAACTTTGTTACTAAAGTTTCGATAATTTCAAGTTTTACTCCACTTTCCAGTGTTGGGCTCCAATTTCTGGAATCTTCTGATAACATACCCATCTACTGGATACGTTATTCCACTGAAATTAATGAAGACTTCAAGAAGCAGCTGACTTCATCTAAAATTTCTGGGGTTTTTCATCAAGAGAGTGTCTGCACTGCACCAGTCCAGTTTCTCTCGCAAATCTATTGGAAGGTTCATACTTCACCAGCTCTTGATGCCTTTAGACAGCGGTGGCGGTTGTGCTCAATCACATGTGAAATATTCTGAAATATGTATTAAACCACCATCCTAGACCGGAAAACTCTAGATTATGCACTATTCTGTCACTGAAAAATACCCATAATTTGCAATTAGCCTAATGGGTCTCTCCGTGGTCTTTGCTGTACCGTTTGTTTCATGTCGTACGTTGCTAAGATGCTGACTTTCAGTCTTCACCGCTTAACAAAGAGCTTCTCCGACCGACAGCTGTATTGTACTGACTGATGGAAGGGGTCAAGGTACAAGTAAGGGCAGGTTACAGATAGGTATAGTGAGCGAGCGAGTTGTGATGAGATGATCAACGGGGAAAGGAGCGTGGGGCTCTTGTGGTTAGCCGTACCGCCACAGGTGACGGTAAGTACGAAATTTTGATAAAGCCACACTGGGTAATCAAATCGCAACGACGCTGATGAACCTGTGACTTTACGTGCCTACGTCACACAATTAGAGGCAACAGCGAATATACTAGATCTCATCTGTGAAGTGAACTAGGCTCATAATGTAGGTTTAGCTTGAAGCCTCAAACGGTTCATCGCCGGCAACGTCCCGAATAGGAAAGTATTCATCAAACAGTTTTGGAGCTCGCTACGAGACTGACAGTCACACAATCACATGCCGAGTGACGCTGTCACGCAAAACCATCTAAAAGCCTCTTTCTGTGG